ACATATGAGTTGGGTTTTATAGGATGTGGACTTGCTTAATTTTCTTGATAGGCTTGTTAGGGTAACGGGGGCCCAAATATGTTTTCCTTTCCTCTCCTACTTTTGCTATTCGAAGCACTCATTCTACTATTTCCTTATGTTACTATGACACATTCCTAATTAGTGTTCAACTCCTTCTCGAATCTTCTAGGTTCTGAGCCAGTACCAGAGAAAAATTTTGCCTTTTTATCTCCCTATTTAGAGATCTAACAAGTGCCGACTGAATCTCCCTTGTACTATTCTCAAATTAATACACTTCCAAATATCTTGTTGCTTGATTCTCTCTTAACTGGAGTCGTGGTTCTCTGACACTCAACTTGAAAGTATATATAATTCAAGTCCTTCAAAGTTTAAAGTAATCTGTGACCGTCCAAGGTCCTTCAAAGTATATATAATTCAAGTCCTTATCATTCACAAAAGAAAAGACAAAATATCCATTGTCAATTTCCTAGTTTCGAAAGGCTCCTTTGATTTTCATAGCTTTAAGAGACTAGTTTTTATAGCGCATAAGAGCCTATTTAGTTTAAAAGGAGGGTAAGGGAGAGAGGGAAGGGTAGGAGAGGTTTTAACCTCATCTTGTTTGGTTTGATTAAAGAGAAAGGAAATTAGGGATATTTGATGATAAAAATTAATTTACATCTTAATTTAAATTATATAATTTAATGAAAATTCAGTCTTATCATGCTAAATATGTATTAAAAAATTGGTACAGTAATTTTTTTAATTCTAATCAATATAATAATATATTTTAAATAATCAAATTAAAAATTTTTATATGCTCTAGAAAATGAATTTTTTGTTCTCTTTAGGCTATGCGTTTTTTAGCTTTAAAATATATTTTAATTAATAAAATGATATATTTATAAAAATAATTAATTTTATAATATCCTAACTTTTTTATTGAAATATTGTTTTTGTTTTTAATTAATTTTTATTATAATATATTTTTTTTTAATAATTTTATTTTTATTTTTTTACTTATGAACCTATATTTCTATTTGAAATAAATATTATAATATATATTTTATAGGTATTAGTAGAATATCAAAAAAAAAAAGATGTAAAACAAGAAAAGGGAAGAAGAAGGGAAGAGATCATAAAGGAAGAAAAGGTGAAAAAAGATGAAACAAGCCAAGAGAAAATTAACTCTCTATTAATTCAATATTCAAAGTTTGCCCTAGAATGAAAACCCTAGATCTAATTATACTAAAACAATAATAAAAATGAAAATAATAATAACAACTAATTCTAATAGTAAAAATACTAAAATAAATCCTAAAAATGATAATAAATTCAAATAACTCAAATATCCTAGAAATAATAAAATCAAAATATTTCTTTTCACATCCCATCATTTCTCCTCTACTTGAAGAACTCGACTCCCCATGAGTTGAAATTGATGCACAAATCTTGGGAGGAAAGAGAGGGATAAAGAGCTCGGTATGGTACTTTGATATGGGAATCCTTTCTAATGAGTAAGGTACCAGAAGAGGAAACATTGGCAATAATGAGCAACTGGATCCTGGGTAGTATCTAAAAAACCTTTCCAATATACAAAATACCATTGGAATTATTTGTTCAGCGATGAGATGGTCTTGGGAGGTGCACCTTTCAAACAAAATAGCATTATAAAATGATGAAACTAATTCTTGTTGGTCACAATCTGAGAAAAACTACTTGCACTTGTGCTAATTGAACAAACTAATCAATGTTTGAAGAAATTTTACCGTTAATGATAATAAGATCAGAGGTCTCACTCTATTGAACCGCAAACATGTCTAGTGATGCCTGTTGAGTACTATGGATAGCCTCTACATGAGTTGTGGGAACCACATCACTTGGCTTTACAATATCTTCTTCCATGTTTAATGAAGAAGTTTTGACCTCTATTACTTTGGTTACTTGAAGAGCCTCTTCTACTTGATTCTCTGAATTACTGATAAATTTTATAAGCTTATCAATTCCCTCATTAACTCACTTTTCAAACTTATCAAGTGCATAGTCATATGATTGCTTTTAGCAGTAAAGTTCAACTTCAAATTGTTCTATTTACACCTTGCAATCAAGTTTTCATTGCATGATATGTTTATAACAGTAATGATATGTAGGATCAATATAGTATTAAGCATGTAATTTGTCACTTATCATAATCAGTATAGTCAGACTGCACTCGGTTGGCATATCGATAGGGGTGAGTAGTAAATCTAGTACTATCATGATCAATATCCTTAGATAAGGTGTCATATGCGTAGTGACGCCTCCTATAAGTGTATCCTCTATAATTCACACTTAAAACTAAGTAGCATAACAATTCTTTTCTTGCTCTCCGCCATTTTTTCCTAGTACTATCATGATCAATATCCTTATATAAGGTGTCATATTCATAGTGACGCCTCCTATAAGTGTATCCTCTATAACTCACACTTAAAACTAAGTAGCATAACAATTCTTTTCTTGCTCTCCCCCATTTTTTCCTAAATTTCCTTTTGTCTCTATTTTTTTAATTTACAAAGAAGCTAATTGAAAAGATAAATATACCCCAATCTTTCAATGACTTCAAGAAGGTCCACAACTAAAGAATGACTAAATGGGTGAAGAGTGCAATGTTCACAAAATTTGGGGCGGAAAGTTGAATTTTTGCCAAAATTAGGGTCTAAAGTGTAATTTTCTCAAAAACTGAATCTGGACATTGTAGTCACTCGCAAGGGTGAGGGTTTAGGTGCAAAGATTCAGAAGGCTCTTTTAGCTATGAAACTTCTGGGTTTGGCCATGTTTCTCAAAGAGAGCTTAATAGTACTAGTGGTTTTGTAATCAAACATTGAGATGGCTAGATTTGGGACTTACAGTGGACGGTTTTGTTTAGTGGCGGTCTCATGTAGTGGTTACTGAGGTGAGATTTGGCCACTATTTGCCATTGATCTATGGAGTCTAGTTGTGTTGCCCAAGATAAATCTAATCGAGGTGGTAGTGTGTCGATTGGATGCCGAAAATAGTTGAATGAAGGTGATGGATGGTGGCTCGAGAAAGAAGTGTTTCGTGGATAGAAAAAGATTTTTTAAAATAGTTGAGGAAGCTAATCTAGCTCTGATACCAAATTGATATAAAACCAGAAGAAGGAAGAAGGGAAGAGATTAGAAAGGAAGAAAAAACGGAGAAGAGGAAGCAAGCTGAGAGAAAATTAACTGTCTATCAATTCAATATTCAAAGCCTGCCATAGAATGAAAACTCTAGATCTAATTATACTAAAACAATAATAAAAATGAAAATAATAATAACAACTAATTCTAATAATAAAAATACTAATAAATCCTAAAACGATAATAAATCCAAATAACTCAAATATCCTAAAAATAATAAAATCATAAATATTTCTCTTCATATATATCTCATAAAAAATATAAGGGTAAAATAATCTAAAAATTTAGCTCTCCTCTAAAAAATTCCAATTTGGGAGGGGGGTGTTAAAATGGGGGTAGGGGAGGGAGAGGAAGGATGATTTGGGGTTCCCTTTCCTCTAAAAGTTTTAACCAAATGAGAGAATGGGCTTATTTTTCCTCTCCTTCCCCACCCTCCCGTCTAATCAAACAGGCAGTAAGGGATTTTTTTTTTGGTTGAGGATTTTGACGATTAACAGATTCCACCATAGGGCACATCATATCTCATATTGCTCTTGAGCAATCACAAGGGTTAGGATCAAGTCGTCATCTCCTCTGGACTCCTCCATCCTCTTTGCATCTTCACATTTGATTAGCCATTGCCCCCAAAAAGGTCTTTTTGATATGAGCCTTTGATATAGTCCCTTCAAGCCTCATCAAACACAATACTAATCCTCTTATCGAAAAAGCAATCTTTCGGAATGGCATCTATAAGTTTATCTTTATAAGAAAATCCATGCATCATTTTCTCCCCACTCTCCAAAGTATGCATGGCATCCTCCAAATCATGTCACACTCTTTTCTTGTTTTGATCCCTATCGTCTCTATCTTGTGTCACTCCATTTCCCTTCCCGTGTTCATCATTCATCAAAGAAAACCCTTTTATTCTTATGCTACCATTGGTAGATTCTGATTGAGAATATAATTAATGAAAGAAAATATGAATTAAGGAGATAAGGACTTGTTTCTATATCTTTTCAACCACCACATGTACCGTTTACTATTGATAGGTTATTTGGCTAGTCCTATTTAATTAGATTATAGATAAGCTCATCAAATTAATTAGATTTTTTGTTTTAATTTGATGACCCTTGTAATGAACTCAAGGAATACCAAAAAATATATAGACCACTAAAAATTTTTCATAGATTATGTAAAATAAATTAAACATAAATTCTTTGAAAAATTCGTAAACTTTATGTTTTTAAATTGGGTTAAGGTGCAAATTTGCTCCAAAAATTTTTACTCAAGATTGCTGGGCATTTAGAAGGTTTTTTGAATGTAAATTAGCTCTGAAAGTTTAAAATTGTAGCAATGTTGTCTGTACCACTAAAAATATTGACAATCAATGTCACTGTTTTATTTGTATGGGGTAATATTGCTACAATTTTAAACTTTTAAACCAAATTTATATTAAAAAAAATTTTAGGCTTAAAGCTCTTGCGTGAAAACTTTTAAAGCAAATTTTTACTTTAACCCTTCCTTTAATAATAGTCAAGTATTCTCTAACTTATACTTGATGGTTCTTATATATAATCATACACCAGTGATGGTTTGCTTTAACTCTGCCTCATCATATATTTAACAATTTTTTCTTGTAATTGTTATATAAGAGCAAATATTTAATAGTGTAACTAGGATCAAAGGAGCTTACTTCTCATAGAATATCCAACTTAGAAATAAATAAGTTTCAGTAGAAATTACATTTAATTAATTGTTCAACATAACACATTGAATATTGACTAAATTATCTAAAGAGACTTAATTTTGAATGGCATTCAGTGTCTCTGATAAGTCTTTCGAGAATAAAAGGATAATATTTTATAACAATTCGTTGTATATGTTTTCATCAAAATGTTTAACAACAATATAACACATGTGATAAGCCATGCATACATGCGTATACGCACAGTTTTGGAAGAGAATGCTCTCTTCTTCTTGGCAAATTAAATGCTCAAATACTGTTAGACATTTATCTATTTGATTTGCTCTAATATATATGTCCAAACCTAACCTTCAATTCATCATCATTTGGTCTTCATGGCTTTTTTTTTTTTCAAGCTTCCTCCTAAAATCTTCATGATCTGGCTAAAAGAGATGAAGGAAGTAGTGGGATCCATACATCAAGTGGGTCCCATTACTCTCTCAAGTCCTCTTCTCCCTAGGCTGCGAAGTTGTTGAACAAGATCAATCCATCTCCTCTATTAGGTTAATTGTCATCTAGGCGTGATGTGAGAAGCAGTTATTGCATTAACAGAAGCATCGTTAAAAGTTCTAGAAGTTGACGACTCTTCCAGAGACTTTCTTCTAGAAAATGCAGGAGGAGTAGGTGTTGGTAATGTCATTGTGTCACTTGCAAGCATGACTGCAATAGTAGACATGGTTGGTCTATCGTCTGGATCTTCTTGAACACAAAGCAAGCCAATGTGTACGCACTTTGAAACTTCAGTTGCTATATATGAATCTTCTAGCATTGGGTCCATCAATTCTAAACATTTATCTTTGCACCACAAATTCCAAGTCTGCAAGAAATTGCAAAATTTGCATTTGAAATTATGAATATCTTGAAATTAGGTCAATGCTCATTATTTTTAAATAAAATTAAAATTTCATGCATGATAGACATGAGATTAGCTTGAAGAAACTTACATAAATTAGGAGACTTTGGCCATGTTCTGCAAGATAGAAACTGCAAATCTTTTTTCCACATATGATTTCTAGTAAAAGAACACCAAAACTAAAAACATCTGATTTTACTGAAAATAATCCTTCCATAGCATATTCTGGAGCCATATAACCACTGTGTTGATAAACGCAATAGCACCTTTTAGTTATCTATGGACCAGTATTTTTCTAAACAATATATATACACCAAATTGAAAGTAAAAAAAAATGATAAGTAGAGTGAGTTTTTATGCCACTTACTATGTACCCATTATTCGTTTTGTATTTCCTTCATTTCGAGCTCCTTCAAAAGTCCTTGCCAATCCAAAATCTGATATTTTAGGATTCATCTCATTGTCCAAAAGGACATTGCTAGCCTTCAAATCTCTATGAACTACTCTAAGTCGAGAGTCTTCATGAAGATACAAAAGTCCTTTTGCAATCCCATTAATAATATTTATTCTTAGATTCCAATGTAGTTTCTTTCTATTTTCATCATCTGCCAACAAATTTTCCAAGAAAAGATTCATTATTGATGAGAACATATGAATTAAAGAACAATATTTAATTATTAGTTGTTATCCAAGGGTTTTCTTGAAAATTTTACTCCATAATATACCGGCTACCAAAACAAACAAAACTTGTAGACAAAATTTGTTGCAATCACTTGTTGATAGTCCAAATCCGATTATGAAAAATAGTTTCATTCTATAAAACAAGGATACTACAAATAATAAATCATGCACATGTAATGAAAAATGCATGCATAATGAAAAACACAAGATTTTGTTGTTCATAAGGCGAGCCACATGTTGCCACACACTGTTTAGGCCATCCAAATTAAGTCTAGATTGCCAACATCTTATCGTTAGATTTCAGATACTTTGGGGATGAAAATTGCAAAATGAAATTCTTTTCTAATGCTAACTTAATCATCATAAAGACAATATTAGATAAATATTTACATGTTGAACTTCAGTACTAGAACAACTTAAGGGTGTATGTTTCTTGCTATGCTAGTTGGTAAAAGGGAGCAAATGTCACCTTATAGTCCATAACATGCTACTAAATAAGGTTTTTGTCTATTGAGCATTCTATGTAGCTCTATAGAATTAAAATTAAAAAGAGTTTTTTTTAAAGAAAATGCATGTAATCTTCCTGCATTGCTTACTACTAATATTAAAAGCTTCTTTATAAGACTAATATTCATGCAAAAGCATTAATTAAAGACAATGGTAATCACAAAGGTAAAGAGAGCCCCGGTTCACTTGGGCAAAGATCAATGAATGGATTTATAAAAGCAGAGAGTGAAGTATAAGGAATGGAAAGAAATTGGGACATGAGAAGAACATAAACAGTGCAAGAGAGGAAGTTATTCGATTTTCAAATAAGAAAGCTCATCATCATGCGTGGGAAAGGATTTTGTTTGCAAGGAAGCTTGGACAAACTCAAAGCTTAGAATAGAATGATGGTTAACATAATGACAGTTGGCCCTGAATAAATTTTGACAAGGTAATATCAAATTGTTTTTCTCTATTCTCTTAAAACTCGATGAAGACTCTTTCTTCTTTAGCAATCTCATATTCTCCAAAACCCTAGTGAACATATCATATGCAGTCTTGGTCTTGTTGCATATAACATTACATCATTCACAAGTGCTATTTTCGAGACATATGAAGAGACAACAAAAATCAAAGCAAGAAAGATAGAGTTTAGAGAACATACTGAAAAGGTGGAAGTCAAGGCTGGAATTTGGCATGTACTCGTATACAAGTAGCTTCTCGTTTTTCTCCATGCAGCATCCCAAGAGTTTGACAAGGTTTCTATGTTGCAATTTTGCTATGAATATCACTTCATTTTTGAACTCCTTTGAGCCTTGACTTGATGCTTGTGAGAGTCTTTTAACAGCAATTTCCTTTCCATCCGGTAATGTTCCCTACCAAAAACATTGATAATAATTTTTTTAAAAAAAAAGATATCATATTTAAAAAATACCTTACAACGCTATCATATGATACACAAGTAGAGCAAGTACATGTACATATATTGGTGGACAATCAATAAGTATCTCTGTAAATGTTTTTAGAGTATAGAGGCATACCTTTCTATTGATAAGCTCCCGAGACCCAGCTCACTTGTACTTTTATTCTATAAAAATGTTGGGGGAATAAAGCATCTTTTGAACTCTAAATTAATAGACATTTCATCAATATTTTAGAATGAAAAATATTCTGTTTCCGCTATTTTTAAATAATAATGAGTATACTAATTTGGGACGAGTAGATTGCTTGGACCAAACTCATGACTCGAGTTCATTTTACTAGAATTTGGCTTAATTTTGTTTTCGGCCAACCATTCCCAAAGCAGCTCAATTATATTTGATCTAGCCCAACTAGGTTTATCTACAAAGGGGCTATATTGTACAATTCTATATATAGTTGGAGAGTGAATAGGACAAAATGAAGGTTGAGATGCATTAATTCTTGGACTACATCACTACAATGTTTTTGTATTATACAGTAAGAACGATAGAATTTGTTGCTTGAATGTGTAGGCAACATTTTTCTTACCATAGTCACACTTTTCAAAAAAAATGTTGCTTGTACTATCAGAATTGGCCATGTGTACATTTCAATCAAACTAAATGATTTAATAGTTAAAGTTAACATTTTTAACGGTCGAAGTAACAATTCACCGTTCTGATAAATTTAAGGATGACATCATGTCACTTAAAAGGTTATCATATCAATTTATCAAATGCTGCTTCGAAATAGTTTACGGGCAAGATTGAATGCATATTAACCTTTTGTTAAATTTTGTTAATCTCTTATAGGGAAGTTTTACTTAAACTAAACTTTTAGGAAAAAGATAACCAAACCATTTGATAATCATAACATATTAGTACCTTGTAAACGGCTCCAAATCCACCTTCTCCCAATTTAGAATTTTCGGAAAAGTGATGAGTGCTCTGTTGAATCACATGTAAAGGGATTGTGGGAAGGTCTGAGTTCAATGATCTCTCTCTTCGGGAGATGTCATAAAATATAGGAGCGCCATCCAATGGTCGTTCATCTACAAGACAAGCGTACAAATTTATATTAGATCATATGACGATATATTCACTTACACGCATGTGAGGGCAAGGCACTAAAAATCATATTAGTCATTGAAGTGTTTGATGCTATGGTTTAAGAGTTAGTGATCCAATTGTGGTCGAACTATAAAGTACAATCAATTGTAACTAAAATAATATAATTTAATTAAAATATACAAAAAGTATTTATATACATAGCACTGAAGAAAGTAATTTTTAATTAAGAAAACATTAATCCACCCGTCAAGGAACATTCATGTGTGAACCACACACAATCCAACAAATCAGAATCATCAAAGCAAAAATCTAATTACAGACAACTATATTTCTTTCATTCAAAAATAGATAACAACGTCATTTTATGCTCGATAAGGGAGAAGAAAATATAAAATTTAACTTGGCTGACCTGTCCAAAATTCTTAATCATACTAGTTAGAGGAATGGTTCACCGGTTCTTGTTTAACCAACCAATCTGAATTGAGTTTTAATACCATGCGTTTGTGAGGGTATAAAGTCTAATTGTATATGTATATGTTCAGTGTGTACTATGGGGGTTCTTAGTCCCTTTTGGTAAAGAAAATAATCACCACCGTAGTTTTTGATTCATCGTTTGTGATTGCACTAGAAATTCATTGTAGTAAGTGAAATGATGCCATTTCAAAATTTGAATCAAATAATGTGATGCAATATAAAGACAGGCAACATAATAAACTGCATTGGGGAAGATATTCATGAATACCTTTCCTGGTCTTCCTTCGCCATAAGTAGACAGAAAAACTTAGTATTGCCACAGCCGCTAATAAACTTACGCTTATGATCAAAGATTTGGACTTGCCATCCCCATCATTGCCTGCGCACATCGACAAATTATCATTAAGATGTAAACAAATAGATGGATGTTGATTGGTGTAACTGAAGCAGTTAGAAATAGTGAAAGTTATGTAAAAAAGAAAAAAAAACTCATCTGTTTCTAAATATAAGACCCATTTGTAGTAATTACAATACAAATGGGTCTTTTAATTTATTTAAGGTTGGAGGGAGTATTATTAAGAAAATAAATTCAATTTTTTAGAATATAAAAATGTTAACAAAGATAAACTAGCTAATATAAAATTTGTTGCTCTATATATATATATATACGTCCAAATAATAAGAGAATCCAACGAGTATAAAGATGAAAATTGTATCCAATATAATGTAACAAACACACAAAAACGTTAATAGAATCTGCTACCCTATGGTTTTAGTTTTTGAGAATTTGAGGCAAGATTCACTTTTTTAAGAGAAAATATCATAAATCAATAAATATGGGAATTTATATAAAGTTGCATTATTTATGAATCATAAAAAAGTACTACTATAATTCTTCTCAAGCTCCTTGCCACGCAAGGGTCCCCACATCTAACGGACTGATATAAAACTCAAAATTTTTGGCGTTGAATTTACTATATATTTTACTTAGTAAAATTTGTAATACCAAATTGTTTAAAAATTTTGTATTAAAGCTACACCACACAACCTCATCAATCAGACTCTCTCTCTCTCTCTCTCTCTCTCTCACCTACTATCGGATACTTGGATTTTTTATATGATACATACAAAATTCAATTTATGATAAAAAAAAATTAGGATCACTGTCTTTTTTAAATAAATCAATCTTATTTTTATTATAAATTCATATATATATATATATATATATATGCATGCTTGATGTATCACATACGATGAATGAAATGAGCCACGATATTTTTTATGTAAATTTTACGCATGAAAATAATCCTAATCTGAAAGGGGGAAAAGGAAGGGGATGTAAGAGATATATTTGCATATTAAATATTAAACCTGTGGTAGGATTGCGATCGGAAATGGATGACTGATAAAACATGTAATCGTTGTATTTGATCATACAGCTTGGCGTCCCAACTTGCCATCCTTGTTTCTGCTCACAACATTGAGTAATGTTATTCATCAAAGCCTCCAAACATTGCTTGCAACTCTTGTTCTCAAGATCTCTACTACACTGTACCAACGCGTACCTTCTTCTTCCACCTCCCAAATCAAACCCTCCCCACGCATTTAACTCCTTCGTCTTTTCTGTTGCTCGTCGAATCAGACTCCTTATGTAACTCTCCGCCTTCTTCCACTCCGTTGGATCGGACTCCTTCTTATTCACTCCTTCCATGGACCACAACGGGCTCATTGTCACCTTCCCAAAGAAGTTCTCGTTCGAGTATCGGAGGATGCAGTAGCTGTACCTGTATATGTTGCAACCAAATACACATTTGCATAAGGAATAGTCATCAAAGTGTACAAATTTCAGTGTAGTTTATGTATTTTCAATCCGATCTTGTGAAAACAAAAAACCAAATGATACCTAGTAAAACTTCTAACTTTATATAAGATTTTAATTTGATTTCTTAATTTTATAAAGTATATTTTGAGTCCTATAACTCTAATATCGTTAATTAGTCTTCATTGATGCTTTTTTTGTGTGTCAATCATTGTTATTTTTCAAAATTAAACGTAATATGTTAGCATCTCAAATTTCAACAGCGGTATGTTTTTGTTGATGAAAGGACGCTTTATAAAATGAAGATATTAGAATAAAACCTTATTTAAAGTTAAATAATTAAAAGCATGATATATACACACACACATATATAGATTCGTTGCTTATTTGCCATGCCATATCATTTTTGATGCCATGTGAAACTATAACTAAATTATATGACATGACGCAGCAATAGACATTGGATCAAAATAGAAAATAGATGCCTCCTTGTGAGGATTGAACTGAAAATTTATGGATTAGCTGGGTATGAAAGTACTGCAGTTCAATACAAAAGCATATTTCAAAATATATTATGATAAGAGTAAAATACATTAATGTCCCCTCTATTTAACTTAAATTAAAGGGACCTCCTTTTTATTTTGAAGATCTATATAAACCTCCCTTAAAATCAAAATATATGTTGTACAAACCTCTCTTCCAGTTTTGAGATTCAATTTTCATCTACCCAATCATTAGTTGACCGTTAAATCATAAAGTGGACCTATTATTTTGACCAGAATACCCATCATTAACACAAATATTACTTAATAATTATTGTTTAATCACATATGGTATATCTTTATTTGAAATTAAAAATAATTTTAATACATATTTTAATATTTTGGTTATACCATTATTAAATCAATTATCATATTATAAATTAAATTAAATTTATAAATACAAAATTTTATTTTATAATAAATTTAAATTTTTAAAGGAGAATGACAAAAAAGGAAGCTGGAAATTACTAAATCCCAAATCAAATTTAGTAACAACACTTTATTTGGTGCTGACAATATTGAATTTGCAAATGACAACAAATTTTTGTTGACACTCTTTATTTGGTATTTACAAATTTCTAACTTTTTTTTTGTCATTTTCCCAATATTTAATATTAATATCATTTATTTATTAAAACTTACTTGTGATATAATTTTTTAAATATATATTAGCTGAAAACATTTTGTAATTATATATATGTATTTTCAATTAAATTATAAAATTATGTCTTAATTTAGTAAATTTAGTAGAAATATTAAATAGATCATTAATAAATATTGATATTAAAAGATAAACTAGAGATTTAATACAACAAGGGGTAAAGTAGGAACCAAGATTTATTCTAATATGTTTTGTAATTAAAAAATATACTTAAAGAATTTTTTCATAATATTCTTTAACGGTGTTAATATTTTGGATTAAAACGTATGTTATAAAAATAAAGGGAAAGTACATGTAACTAAGAGAAAACATAAGAGTAATCATAGTAGTTTACTCTTATTATAAAAATAAATAGTTTATATGTAATAAATCTAAGAGAAGGGATGCTTTTGGAATAGAATATTCTGTCAATAACATCAAAAGTTTTATTTCTAACAAACAACTAGTTTATGTACTCTGTTTCGATTTTTTCTCGCCTTCTGTTTTTATATTACATACTTCGGTTAAATTTGAATGATTTTTAATGTTTATTCATATAATCTGAAAATATAAAATATGCCTAACTACTAAAAAGTTAAAAATGATCACTGGGATATTAAAAATGAAAAAATAAATTTAAACTGGTTATATTTAATATGAATTTATACCATGAATAAAAAGGAGGAGAGATTTCATTGAAGTGGGTAGGTATAGAAGAATAGAAAAATCATTCCCTAAATTTGCTTGTGATGGGATTTGCTCTAAATGACTCGATCCCTGCATATTTTAACCAAAAAATTTAGACTGTGACAAAAAAGTATCATCTCGAGAAGTATTTTTGTGTCTAAAAACATTGAAACCAAACGACATATGCATATGCAAATTCACTATATTTCCAATTTATTGTTTTTGAGTTACTGAAATATAATTTCAAGTCCAAAAAAATTCAAAAGTGTTTATATGAACATAATCCATAAATTAAATCCAAATAGATAATAGGATTGATACCATATCGCAGCTGAAGGTTGATTGGGACAGCGTTGGAGAAGCTCTCTGGTGGCAGTTGAGACACAAAACTGACAGAGGTATCCGGGGTCGTCACCACGGCAGTCATAGAGGCCGTAGATGGCGGCGTTGGTGGCGTTGCCGATGGTGGTTTGGTTGTAGCCTTCGCTTGTGGCGGAGTCCATGGAGAGCCATGAGAGGAGCTGGTTAAGATTGGCTTTGTATGAAGCAGTAAGAGCTTGTGGTGTTTTGTTATGGCAGTCATCTCCAACGTAATCTGATGCTAGAGAAGTACTTGTTCTGATGAAACTGATCATGATTATTATGGGGAAGATCATCAACAGAAATCGCGGAGTGGGAATAATGGGGTTTGATGATTCCATCCTGGACTTACAAAGGCTATTTCAATTTTGATATGAGTATCTATAGGGATATAAATAGACAGAGTACTTAAATTGGTGAAATCATGCAAAATATATAGATATAATTTTAGAATAAGCATTGTCCCAAAAAACATTATAACACGCAAGTTTTGACTTACTGGTATATGTCAGAGTTGTGGGGGATGGAAATAATGTTTGAAATGAAAGGGATGTAATTTATATGAATTTAATTCCGTTTTCTTCGTTTTACTCATATCATTCAGATACTTCTTGGGGTACTATTTATAAGTAAGATTGAGATGCAAATTTACTTGGAAGTTTTCACTCGTGAGCAATAGGTATTTATAAGTTTGCAAATTTGCCCCTGAAAGTTTAAAATCGTAATAGAATTGCCTCATACCAGTTAAAAAACTAACATTAAAAACTAAAATAGTGATGTCGACTATTAATGTATTTTTTCATGATAGAGTGTACTATTATGATTTTAAATTTCTAGGGCAAATTTGCTCTCAAAAATCTTTTAGGTGCTCAGCACTTTTAAGTTAAAACCTCCAGAACAAATTTACACCTTACCCCTATAAAATAGTTTAAAGAGTTTTCCCTTCATCTTACTTATATTTACCTTATATATTAATAAATTTTACTTTGGATTAAACTTATAGGTCAAGTTGCATGTATATTCATTAGGCTAAGTTCTCCAATCACACTTGTTATTTTGTTATTATTTTTAAAATACATATGTACACTTGTAAATTTGTCTATGAACACCAACAAATCTTTGTATCATTCCTTATTATGTAAGTTAGGATTTGTAAAACATTTTCATATGGACGATTGTTATTTTGTTATTGTATATACTTACAAAGGTACCTATAAAATATGAATATAAGCAATTTGACCTGAGTTTTGTCATGTTTCTCATATATTTTATTAAAGGGTTAAGGTGCATCTAGCACCTGGAAGTATTTTCTTAAGTACATCTAGCATCTTGATGTATTTTATAATGCATCAAGCATCCTAAAATATTTTTTTAGATGCATCCAGCATCGTAAAGTATTTTTTGATGGATGCAGCATCTCAAAGTATTTTTTTAAATGCGTCCAACACCCAAAAATATTTTTTGGTGCATCTAGCACCAAAGCAAAAAAAAAAATACTTTAAGGTATTGGACGCTCCTAAAAAATATTTGGAAGTGCTAGATACACCATAAAATATATTAGGGTGTTGGATACACCTGATAAAATACTTCAGGGTGCTAGATGTACTTTAACCTTTTATTAAATGTAACTTTGCTTTATATATAATAAGTGTCATTAAATATTTTGTAGAAGTTTGAAATTAACAGGAAAAGTTTAGGAAAATAACTTATACTTCGTTACAATATACTCCCTCCAATCGTATATATAATTACAATTTTTGCAATAGGACTTATCCTTTTTAAAAGTTTTTTTTTACCAGCATATCCTTTTTAAAAATTACACTTTGTCTATTCACTTTCATTAATTGCATGTGTCTACATTAATTATCATATTTTGGCCAAGAATTATATTTCGTTCTTGCTTTTGGCAGACTCTTTTATTTGTTTTAATATATTCTCTTTCATTTTTTTACTTACTCACTCATCCCTTTATAAATAAGAATATATTTGAAAAAATACATTATATTTTATGTATTTATCATGTTTAATCAATTTTAATTAATTTTTTAATCTATAATTTAATTATTTATAATTTATATATAATAGCAAAGGAGTGCTTAAAAAAAATAAATGCGTTCAACTTATTTTTTTCTTTAAAATTTAATTATTTATTTTATGTGTCCGCGTGTGACCTGGTCAAGTTAGATGCCTCTTTCTCAAGTGAGAAAAATTACCCTAATAGAAGTACAAGTCACTTATGTAGGAGAAAAATTTAGAGAAAATTGTAAATAAAGACCTCCTAATATATAAAATGACAATCAGGGACCCTGAATTTGAGAAATTGCTCACAAGGACCCGATCCCAATTTGCAATTATGAAATCATGGCCAAATTACCAACATACCCCTCTTTAATTTTTTTTTTTTAAAGAACACCACTGCCTCGCCGGAATCCGGCCGCCAGTGCCGGAGCTCCAACATCCCAGCTGCCAGTCGCCGGAGCTCCGATGCCAGTGGCCGGATTCCGGCCATTGCCGGCGGCCTTCCTTTGTTTTTTTTTGAAACTGTTTTTTTTTTTAAATAGGGGGGAAGTGAGGTTGGGGGGATTTGATCCCCCAACCTAATGCTTCCCAAAATTAGGAATGACCATCAAGCCAACAAATTTTTACTAATATTATAATACAAAAAAAATATAAGTTAACTCATTTACTCTTGTTCCAGGTGATAACAACAATACATTTAGAAATAACAAGTTCTGATTGTAAAATAACACGTCTGGAATAAAAATTTAACAATATGTTTTTTTTATAACAACAAATTTTGTTGCAGGTGATAACAACAATACATTTGAAAATAACAAGTTCTGATTATAAAATAACAAGTCTGGGATTAAAATTTAACAATATGTTTTTTTTATAACAACACACTCTGTTTCAGGTGATAACAACAATACATTTGGAAATAACAAGTTCTTATTATAAAATAACAAGTCTGGAATTAAAATTTAACAACACGTTTTTTTAGAAAATTATTTATATTATGATTTTGGAAAATAAATTATTTATAACTTATAAAAATATTTTTAATATATTTATTTTTTCTAAAAAATACTTTTTAATCTATATATCTATACAACTCATTATAAATCAAACTACTTCTTATAAATTATAAAGCATTTATAATTAAGTATTTTTAATCTATAAATCATAGTATAAATTTTTATATTATTTCATTCTTTAAATATTAAAATTTATTATTAAGTATTTAAATATTATAGTATAATTTATTATTTCATTCTTTAAATATTAAAAATAGTTTTTATATTTAAAGAATAAAATAGTATTTTTAATTATAAATTAGAGATACATTTCATTTATAAATTTAAGCAATCAAAAAGTATTTTTAATCTACAATAAATTGTACTATTTATAATTTATAAGAAGTAGTTTGATTTATAATGTGTTGTATAGATATATAGATTAAAATTTTTTTAAAAAAAATTAAAAAAGTGTGTTGTCATTTTCCCTAAATTTTATTTATAAATTTGAACAATAAAAAAGTATTTTTAATCTATAATAAATTACCCTTCAAGTTCTGATTATAAATTGGAGATAAAAATTATTTTTTTAGCAAATTAAATAGATTAAAAATACTTTTTATAAGTTATAAATAATTTATTTTTCAAAAGTATAAAATAATTAATTGTTATAAAAAAACGTGTTGTTAAATTTTAATTCCAGATTTCTTATTTTATAATCAGAACTTGTTATTTTCAAATGTATTGTTGTTATTACTTGGAATAAAATGTGTTGTTAAATAAATAAAAAAGGTGCTGTTAAATTTTAATTCCAAACTAGTTATTTTATAATTAGAACTTGTTATTTCTAAATGTATTGTTGTTATCACCTGAAACAGAATGTGTTATTATAAAAAAAACGTGTTGTTAAATTTTAATCCCAGACTTATTATTTTATAATCAGAACTTGTTATTTTCAAATATATTGTTGTTATCACCTGCAACAAAATTTGTTATTATAAAAAAAACATATTGTTAAATTTTCATTCCAGACATGTTATTTTACAATAAGAACTTGTTATTTCTAAATGTATTGTTGTTATCACCTGGAACAAGAGTAAATGAGTTAACTTTTTTTTTTTGTATTATAATGTTAGCAAAAATTTGTTGGCTCGATGGTCATTCCTAATTTGGGGAAGCATTAGGTTGGGGGATCAAATCCCCCCAACCTCACTTCCCCCCTGTTTAAAAAAAAACAGTTCAAAAAAAAAACAAAGGAAGGCCGCCGGCAATGGTCGGAATCCGGCCCCTGGCATCGAAGCTCCGGCACCGGCGGCCGGATTCTGGCAAGGCAGTGGTGTTCTTTTTTTAAAAAAAAAAAATTAAAGAGGGGTATTTTGATAATTTGGCCATGATTTCATAATTGTAAATTGGGACCGAGTCTTTGTGAGCAATTTCTCAAATTCAGGGTCCCTGATTGCCATTTTATATATTAGGAGTCTTTATTTGCAATTTTTTCAAAAGTTTATTCATAAATGTAAGTCACTCGTTATTAGGGTAATTAATGACCTTTTCTTCATTCTTACTCCTGTTGAATATAATAAAAAAAGAATGTGAGAAAAATGTTCAGTATTTTTTTTTCAATATCTTTTCTTTAATAGAGATAAATGTAAAAACTTTTATTAATTTATTGTATTTTTTAATATATAAAAATAAGTTACAAGTAATTTATTATAACAGCCGACGATTGATGTCGATTGAGATTCTAGAAGTGACAGATTTGTCCATTAAAGGCGTTCAAACTTGGCTAGCTCAATAGGCACAAGGAAGGAACTACTAGGCCGGCTTCCAAGTGGCATCTCATAAGCTAGGCACCGACACAAGACAAGTTGTTATCTAATGTAATTACTCCTCCTATTCTTAATATAGGACCTAATTGTTAAGTTAGTTTTAATCCTAAATATAAGACTCATTTCTCATATTTATCAATTTTTTTTAAACTACTTCTATAGATACTCGTTCAACCATAATCAAATAAAAGAGGATGAGGAGGTATTAAGAAAGATGATTATGATATTTTAGGAAAAACGTGGCACATTTCTTATAATTAACTAACTTACCTAACTTCTTTAAGCTAATCAAATCAGTTAAATGGGTCTTATATTAATGATCAAAAGAATATAATTATTTTGTCAATGGTGCATCTTGATATCATGTACAAATAATGTTTAATTATTGAGTATTCATAATCATACCCCTTCTTATCTTATTATTAAATATTCTGTTAGTTCTAAACATAAGACCAACTTTACAGTTTAGTATAAATAATATACATTACAAA